CCCCAAAACCCCAAAACCCCAAAACCCCTTATTATTTAACAAAGGCAGAAAGTTCATAAACAATTTCTAAGCACAGTAGGTATAAAAATGGAAAGGCTAAGCTCCTCTTCCCTCAGTCGCGAGAGTTTTACCAGTAGGGCCAGTGAGCAGGATAGTATCGAATTGTACATGGCTCAAGAGCTAAGATCTGATTTTGAAAGAGACATTTTAGACTCAGATGCCCTTGAGTTCAACGGTATGGTCAGGGTGAACAGCAAGGGTTTGGCTATCAGCTGTAATCTGGTTGTTATTAAGAGTTTTAGTCAGTTGCATGTCATTTTAGAATGGCTTTGCATTCTTTCTAGTCGTTGTTCTTTAATACTTTGATGAGAATTTAACGTCTAACTGATCATTAGAATTTGAAGAAGCAAAGAGGCTTCATATTTCTGATGAGGAGTTCAAAGGAAATCAAGAAGTAAGTATCATTGATGATATTAAATACGCTAGATCTGGAACGAGTTCTTCAAGTGAATTTTGGATTCGAAAAGTTATTGTTCTCTTTTTTTTTGAATTTTTAAGGGACTCTTCATGATTTTTGTTGAAATAAAATTTTAAAGGAGATAAAAGATATTTCTATTAACAGAAAACCTAAAAAGAAACTCTGGTTAAAGAAGATAAGAATGAAGCTTCCCCGGAAAGTTATTTGTTCATGCTCATCTCAATCTGCCTTAAGCCAAGACTCAAAGTCAGAGCTTCTTAAATGCAATGTTTGATATGACGATTCCTATCAGAGAGCCTCTCTTTGAAGATTCTGAGGAAACAGTGCTTGCAGCCAATGCTGGAGCAATATTTTAAGAACAAACTCTAATTGTCCATTTTGAAGGAAGGCTCTTCGCCAGAATGATCTAGTAAAAGACTTAAGGGTAGACCAGATTAGACAAAAGGAAATGGAGCCCAAGAGCTCTGCTGTGAATACTCTGAATAAAGAATGCTATGACCATGAGAATGAGGGCAAGCTCTACTGTGAAAGTTGCTCTACTTTCTTATGTCTTGACTGCATTACTAGCGGAAAACATACAGACCATAAAATCTGAGACATTAATGTCAATCCCAGACTCAAAAAGAAGATCGAAGATACTCACAGCTTCTGCAAGAAACTTCAAGAAGGTACTAAGAGCCTTGAAAAAGTTATCTCAAAGCATGGAGAGTTCTTTGACATTAACCTTGAAAACTTGAAGCAAGTTATTGAGGAAGCAAAGGAGAAGGTAATGGCAAGACTTAAACAAAATGGAGATGCTTTAATTTGAAAGCTTACTCTTGGCAACTCTCTCAATGCTGAAGCCAAGGATCAATGTGGAAAATTAAAGCTACTTACAAAGAAAACTGCAAAGCTTGGTTTGAAAACTATTGAAATAAAACAACTTAAAGAGGCTTTCGCTAAGCAAAGCCAAATCTGTGAGGCTCCAAACATTACAGAGTTTGCCAAAGCTAACAGTAAGTAAATACATTCCCACGGCTGCATACCCTTACAAGAAGATTTTCAATGTTTTAACACCTCTTATAGTTTTGACAGAGAACTATCTTAAGGAACTGTTCGCTCTGAACATTGATTACACCGACAAGGCCAAGTTCTCAGAGATTATCTTGTCAGAACTTAAACAAGGAATTGATGGACTCTTCTCCTAAATTGGAATTAAGTTACTGCTTTCAATGATAGCTCAAGAGCCAGGGGTTTTGGGGTTTTGGGGTTTTGGGGTTTTGGGG